CCACAAAGCCAGATTCCCTCAAGTCACGAACACCTGTGAGCAAAAGCAGAAAATGAAGTCTCTGATAAATGTGAAATAAATGATTACTATAGATCAGGCTCCTTCACAACATTAATCATTTTCGCTCCTTCACCATCCTCCAGTGAGCAAGGACTGCTGCTGCGTACCTCTTCCAAATGAATTTTCTCTGCCTGTCTTGTTCTTTCCCTTTTCTGTGCCATTTTGTTTCCCCCGTCTTCTGCCTCTCTGCGTAAGACTACCTTTCTTTTTAATTGAATATTTTATTCAGCAGCGAGTGTCTGTGGAGAGTAAGTTTACTAACACAACTCCCCTCGTCAGATGAAGAAACGCTTCCTACGCTCCTCCGAGAACTGAGGGAAAGATTGCAGAAATCGGTCTCATCTTTTTTTCTTTTTAAAGAAGGGCTTGAAGCTGCTGGTGGTCCTTAAATTGGCATGTTGTTACTGCTACGACTACATATCCAAGCCTGAAGAATTTCATTAGCCAGAGGAAGGAGCAGAAGGACATTGAGTGACAGAATAATGAAGAAAGCAGGACATCGGGACTGGCAAACTATACCGTTAACCAGGCCTGCCCAGATCCAAACACAGCGTTGGCCACTGATTGGTCTGTTGTGGTTAGGCCTTGGCACAAGCAGCAGCAACAGCTGCTTGGAAATGATGAAAGCCCCAGAGAGATGAGACAGAGAAGAGCAAGACCACGACAATAATTCTGGAATTAGTGAGAAATTCTGTTGCGCCAGTTCGGTTCCCAACACAGTTCAGGCTGAAGCCAAATAAAAAGTAGGAGACTGCAGCAAATTAACAACAGGGAAAAAAGAAATGGGACGCTAATGGGAGACTTGTGTTGGTGCTGCACATGCTGAAAGGAACTTGTAGTAATTGGAAGCGTTCAATCCTAAATTTTCCTCTGAGGCTTGTTTGGAGACCTGTTTCATTACAGGCTGTCATGTCTTTCTAATAGAATAATCATAAAGACATTAAGTGTTAAGAACAGAAATTAGCATACGTGCTATTGTTGCTGCTAACAAATGTACTGATAAACACAAAGACGAATGCACCGATTTTTACGTAATCAACTTATTTTGTACAGTACAATGTATACACACTACAAGTATAGCTGTAAGGGTGCTGAATCAACAGTAAATGCAGTAACTGCTCAATATGTCCCTGCTTCGTAAAGAGCTAAGTCATCTACCAATCATCACCAAATATTTAACTAACCCTAACTAAGAAAAATGTTTAATTCATCTATACAGCAGCTGTCCAGACCTCATTTTCTTTATGTAACACAGACCACAGATATGGTTGGACACGTTGTTCATCTTTAAACCACTTACTATAAATAGTAGTCTAATGCAGAGCGGCAGACAAGAGGACTTGCTGCTCAAAGTGTTGTACCCTATAGAACCACATTGTGTACATAACAGCTGTAAGACAATTTAGTGACGTGACCATTGTATTTAGCGCATCACTGATCGTTTGTTCAGGAATCACCTGCGACAAACAAGAGCTAAATGTTACCGTGATGCACGTCACGCTGCAGTTCTCTCAGCATCTTGCCTTTACGTTGTCAAGTGTTTTACCCATACATAAATGTGAGACATCCTTTACTTTCTCCCTACTTTTCTGCTCTAAGAGATCTCTTTTAAGTGGTGCAATTTCACAGACACAAGTATTGACATCACAATTTGGTGAAATCTCACAGAGAGGATGGAAGTCCTTACACATCCCTTTATTTTATTATTTTTCTACACTTAGCTCCTTTGTCAGTTTGCAAATTGCAACTGCAGCGCAGTGTGAATGTGCCTGTCACACCACACTCAGACACAAGCAGCGGCAGCAGCAGCGGCAGTGGCAGTG